GGTTAATTGTTCTTTCGTGTCCACAGGGAGTCTGACTTGTTCTTTTTGGATCTTCAGACGCTCCGAGCTGGGGACGAGGGCTGGCTGGTGCTGGATGTCACAGCAGCCAGTGACCGCTGGCTGTTGCACCGTAACAAGGAACTGGGACTCCGCCTCTATGTGGAAACCGAGGATGGTGAGGCTGAGGGGCTGCTCCCCTGGGGCCCTCACAGACTGTCCCAGCAGAGGCCGTGGTGGTGGCCTCCTTTGGCCCTGGTGTCCCGCCGTTCTTGTCTGTGTCCACTGTGAGGGTCGATGAGGTCCAGAGACGAGGTCCTGGACAGGTGGCCCTGCTCTCCTGAGTCGCTAAGAGAGTGAGTCCGGGTCTCCTTCCCCGGGACACAGGTAGTTCTGCCCCCGGAGCAGCTTCTACACTGGGAGCTTCTGCACTGGGAGTTTCTGCACTGGGAAGGGAAGGAGGGGAGGTGGCTGCACCCCCAGGCTCTGAGTCCGAGAGGCCTGGGTTTGAACTCCAGCTCGGCAATGCCCTACTCGGTGGCCTTGGCCTCTGTTTTCTCATTCAGAGAACAAGGATTCTCTCTCACTGCATGGGGATTTTGGGGCAGCCTCCTTCATACCAGGCAGTGGGGAAGGCCGAAGGCGGGCACGAGGTTGGCGTGTTTGCGGTTCAGCAAGAGGGCGCGTGGTGCTGCAGAGCTGGCCAGGGAGCAGCTGGGAGGAGCTGAGCTTGAGAGAGGGCAGCAGGGGTAGCTGAGTTAGGGTAAACCAGGGCGAGGTGTTTGGAGTTTGGGGTGGTTGAGTTTACTTAATAGCGGGGAGGAAGACAGGACCTGATTCAGGCTTTTGCAAAGAACCCTCAGAGATGCTCCCCTAGAGGGTGTGGAGCGTGACCCCACCCATCCATGCGGGCGACGCTCAGGGACTTTCTGTCTGAAAGCAGCGTGTGGATGGGGTGGGGCAGAACCTGCGCAGTGAGGAGCCTGACGAGCTCCGCATTGGCCCGGGGAGGAAGGTTACGTCCACATGCGCTGTGGAGAACGGCGCTTCTCCTCGGAGGAGGCGCTTCCCCCCCGCCTCCCCCAAGCCCGTAGCCCCCGTCCAGCCAGGAGAAAACTCTCCGCAGAATACCTGACAAGTACTTCTCGAAACTGTCACGGTCATCAAAAACACGGCAAGTGGAGCCTAATCAGTCGTAACAACTAAATGTGATGTGGTGTCCTGGACGAGATCCTGGGACAGTGAAAGGACATTAGGGGAAAATTTATGAAATCCAAATAAATGATGGCAGGTGCTTGGTGATAAGATATTGGTATTGGCTCATTAGTTGTGACAAGGGTACCCTAGTAGTGTAAAATGTTAACACTTCCCAGGGAAGTGCTAGGAAACTAGGTCCAGGTATATGGGAACTCTCTGTGCTGTCCTTGAAAATTTTTCTGTAAATCTCAACTGTTGTAAAATTAAAACTTTACTGAATATCTGCATAAAATAAGCACCCCCTGACTTCAGCGGGGAGGGCAGACTGAGAAGGACGAGAGTGACATCGGAGAGACCTGTCGGAGCCACACAGCAGTCCAGGCGGGAGCTGTGAGGGCTCGTTGGTGTGGAGACGGAGAAAGGTGGATGATTAGGAAGGTCAGGATGTAGGTCCAGTGGGGAACAGGTGAGGGAAGGGGGGAATCGTGGATGACATGTGGACCCAACCAATGGATAGTTTTTAATAGATTTTTTGGCCTGAGTTGGCGGAAAATAGAGGAAGGGCAGAGTTCGGGTAGAAAGTCAGGAATTTTGTGGTTGGACAATGGAGACTCCTGGGGTCCTACTGAGATCCCTGGACCTCATGGAAATGCCACTCCAGGGACAGGTGGGTGTGGAGATCCAGGTGTGGGAAGCGCTGGAATGTAAATAGATTTAAAGCCATGGGACTGGACCAGGTCACTTGGAGAAGGAGTGTGTCCCTGGAGACGAAGGGGGTGGCCCAGAGCCCTGTGGCCTCCAACAGGAGGGACCAGGAAACCTGGAGGGCAAGGTGACCCAGACGCCAAGAGAGGAAAATGTTTGCAGAGGCAGGGAGTTGTCATCTGTGTCCTGCTGTGAGCACTGAAGACAAGGACAGAGAAGTGACCAAAGGATTTAGTCACAGGAGGATGTTGATGACCAAGAGCTCAGTGTGGGGACAAAGTCTGATGGGGGAGGTGGAGGGAGAGAGGCAGTAGAGACAGTAGACAGCTCTTTCCAGAACCTTTGCTGGGAAGGGGAGCAGAGGATTGGGGTGGTGGCTGGAGAGAAATGGGGTACAGGGCAGTGTCTTTACAGGTTAGGTGACACTCCTGCACTTCTGCGGGATGGGAGTGACTCAGTGGAGAGGGACAAAAACTGCAAAATTCAGGACGAGTTCAAGGGTGAGGGGCAGAGGACAGGGGGGCAGCCTCTTCAGGTGCAGGGGCCCTTCCTGATGGCTGTGTGGGAGGGACAATGGGCCCCACTGCCGCAATGAGGGGTGAGCCTGAGCCCCGGGTGTTTGCGGTGGGGCAGGCATCCACTCTCCCGGTTTTCAGAGGATTAAACCAGGGTGCCCCGCACAGAGGGAGTGCTCAGAGAGGGGTGGCTCATCACCGCCATCAGCGTCACCCTGCCGTGCCTGTTCCTTAGACACTGGCAGCTCTGGGGAGGCTCTGGAGTGTTTGCAGTTTCCGAGGCTCCACGAGGCTGGAGGGATTGGGGTGACGCCTTCCACGCGAGCCTGGCCTCAGCTCTTCTCTGCGCCCAGGGCCTGTGCGCGGGACATGGCTGGACGGAGGGCAGCATCGTCCAGGGCCTGCTCGGGCAACGACTCTGGACCCCGTCCCGGTCCCGGGGAAGGCGCGGGAGCAGCTCCCTCCTTGTCCCTGCGGCGGGCCGGCAGGAACCCGGCGCCTGGCCGCAGACACCTGGCTTCGAGCATGACCCGAGGCGCGCGTCAGGGCGCGGGCGCCCTCCCTGCTCTGTGACGCGGCGTCAGCGGCTCGGGACACGCACGCGGGGCGTCCCCGGCCTGTGCCCCGACCTCGGAGCCCGAAGGACCATGGCGGCGCGGCGGCTCCTGGCGGCGGCGCTGGGGAGCTGCGTCCCCGCCGGCCGCGCGGGGCCCGCGCTGTCCCAGGGCTGCTTCCGGCGCAGCTTTGCCACCAGCCCCCGTCCCCGCGCCAGATTCTACACCGACCCCGTGGAGATGGTGAAGGACATCTCCGATGGGGCCACCATCATGGTCGGGGGCTTCGGGCTCTGCGGGATCCCCGAGAACCTGATCGCGGCGCTGCTCCGGACGCGCGTGAAGGACCTGAAGGTGGTCAGCAGCAACGTCGGGGTGGACGACTTCGGCCTGGGCCTCTTGCTGGCCACCAGGCAGATCCGCCGCATCGTGTGCTCCTACGTGGGCGAGAACGCGCTGTGCGAGAGCCAGTACCTGGCCGGCGAGCTGGAGCTGGAGCTGACGCCCCAGGGCACCCTGGCCGAGCGCATCCGCGCGGGGGGCGCCGGGGTGCCCGCCTTCTACACGCCCACGGGCTACGGCACCCTGGTGCAGGAAGGGGGCTCCCCCATCAGGTACTACCCAGACGGCCACCTGGCCATCATGAGCCAGCCCCGGGAGGTGAGGGAGTTCGGCGGCGAGCACTACCTGCTGGAGCGCGCCATCAGGGCGGACTTCGCGCTGGTCAAGGGCTGGAAGGCTGACCGCCAGGGCAACGTGATCTTCAGGAGGAGCGCCAGGAACTTCAACGCGCCCATGTGCAAAGCTGCAGACGTCACGGCGGTGGAGGTGGAAGAAATCGTGGATGTGGGGACTTTCCCCCCAGAGGACATCCACGTCCCTAGCATTTACGTGGATCGCGTGATAAAGGGGGCGAAATATGAGAAAAGAATCGAGCGGATAAGGTTCCGCGAACAGCAGGCTGGAGAAGCCAAAGGCGGGGACGACACAAGGACACGCATCATCAAGCGGGCAGCTCTGGAGTTCGAGGACCGCATGTACGCCAACCTGGGCATCGGGATCCCCCTGCTGGCCAGCAACTTCATCAGCCCCAACATGACCGTGCACCTGCACAGTGAGAACGGCATCCTGGGCTTGGGCCCGTTTCCTCCGAAAGCTGAGGTCGATGCGGATCTCATCAATGCAGGCAAGGAGACAGTGTCCGTGTTCCCCGGGGGCTGTTTTTTCGCCAGCGATGACTCATTCGCTATGATCCGAGGGGGGCACATCCACCTCACCATGCTCGGAGCCATGCAGGTGTCCAAGTACGGCGACCTGGCCAACTGGATGATTCCCGGCAAGAAGGTGAAAGGAATGGGCGGTGCCATGGATCTGGTGTCCAGTCTCAAGACCAGAGTGGTGGTCACCATGGAGCACTGTACGAAGAGCAACACCCCCAAGATCATGGACAAATGCACCATGCTGCTGACCGGGAAGCGCTGTGTGGACCGCATCATCACCGAGAAGGCCGTGTTTGACGTGCACAAGAAGAAGGGGCTCACGCTGGTGGAGCTCTGGGAGGGCTTGACCGTGGACGACATCAAAAAGAGCACGGGGTGCGCCTTTGCCGTGTCCCCCAACCTCAGGCCCATGCAGCAGGTGGCGCCCTGACCCGGGAGGCAGCCCTTGGGCGCCCAGGCTGGCTTCTCAGGGCGACCTGGCAGGGCATCCTCAGGGGACGTGGGTCACCGCAGGAAAGCATTCCACCAGGGCTGCGACGAGCTGGCTGCTGGTCTCTCAGACTTTACTGCGCAGACGGCGTTCTCTCTAGAGGGATGTGACTTTAATAAACACAAGAGGAAAACAGCCAAGGGCATCTGGTATGTTCTTGAGCACAGCAAGGCGCTCTGTGACCGTCCGTGAGGAACGTCCCTCTTTGGTGTCTGCGGCGTTCACATTAAATTCCAGCAGCTGGAGCCTGGAGCGTGTCCTCGCGGAATTTCACCCATGCTCCTCCCTCATAGTCCAGTCACAATGTCCAGACAAACATGAGGGAGAAAACAGCCCCGCCCAGAGGATAGCTAAGGGGCCGTCTTACTACTGCCGCGACACACGCACACACATACACGTGAATCTGTGGTGGAGAAATGCTGTCTTCATGGAAGTTTCCCCGTAGCTCCTCTGACTTTCTTCTGGGGCCTTTCATTTTGTTGGTAAAGTTTGTTTCCCGGCAGCCTCCCCTCCCCCTCCCACGTCTCTTCTCCTGGTGCCTAAATAGGTGACCCTAGAAGGAAAACAGGACCATGTCCAGGCGATGGGACCTGGTACTGGGAGAGGCGGGAGAGACTGCAGGTGCTGACAGCCCACAGGGAAGGTTCCTCCAGAAAGAAACAGTCTCTGTGTTGCCCAAGGCGACAGCTTATGATAAAAGCGGGTCTAGAAACCTAAGCGATGGACTAGGTGGGTTTTCTCCACTTGAGCTGCAGGGCTCCTGCCTCCTCCAGACCGGACACCTATGTCCTTTCCCCTGTTAGAGGCCCTAAGTGGCCTCTTGTGTAACAGCCCTCGGAACCCAGGCAGGGCTGTGAGGTGTCTCATCCTGAGTCTCTAGTCTCAAAACTAAAGAGAAGAATGTGTGCGCGTGTGCATGTGCACGTGTATGTATGCGTGTGCATGTGTGTGTGCGTGTATGCGTGCGTGCATGCGTGTGTGTGCATGTGTACTGTTAAAGACCAAGCCTGGCACAGAGCATGCACCTTGTAAGTGAGCTCCAGGGGTTCACATGGCCGACGGGAGGGTGCTGATCAGAGCAGTAAGTTCTAGGTGGTCAGGGACGGCCTTTCTGAGAGGCCCCATTAGAGCCTCACCTGAGGGAAGGGCCGGATCCTGCACAGGAGAGATGGCACTCGCTGAGGGGACAGCACTCGCTGAGGGGACAGCCTAGGGGTGTGGGGAAGTGGCCAGGGACCATGGCCGGGGGTGGGTGGGATGAGATATCGTTGAGTGGATGGTGAAGCACATTTTTTTGTTGGAGACAGAGTCTCGCTCTGTCACTTGGGCTAGAGTGCCATCGCGTCAGCCTAGCTCACAGCAACCTCAAACTCCTGGGCTCAAGTGATCCTCCTGCCTCAGCCTCCCAAGTAGCTGGGACTACAGGCATGCGCCCACCATGCCTGGCTAATTTTTTTTCTGTATATTTTCAGTTGTGCAGCTAATTTCTTTCTATTTTTTTTTTTAGTAGAGACGGGGTCTTGCTCTTGCTCAGGCTGGTCTCGAACTCCTGAGCTCAAACAGTTCCAGAGTGCTAGCATTATAGGCATGAGCCACCGCGCCTGGCCATGAAGCACATTCTGGGGCTTCTGGGGAGGGGCAGCTGACTTGCCCTGGCTGTGAGAGTTTCTAGCAGGAGCGCGGAAAAGGCAGAGGTGCCCAGGAGCACAGAGCAAGACGACCCAACTCTGCATTCCCTGGGAGGGTCTGCAAGAGCTGGGAAGCCTAGGGACTGCTACCGCCAGGACTACCCAGCCTTCCCTGCGGCCAGCTGGAGCCGGGGGCCCTACCCAAGGACGGGTGGGCACAAAGCAGAGCCGGGGGCAAGGGGGGCTCTGGGCTCTGGAAGGAGGGGCTGGGGGCTTCCCCAGGCCTGCCAGATGCAAGCTCTGAACAGAGACCAGGCATCAGTCCCCTTCCCCCCACGGCCCCCCAGCCAGGCCTCTGCAGTTGGCCGGGGAAGAGTGTGACTGTCCTGGCTCTGTCCCACCTTGCCCTGGGACCTTGAGCAGTTGCTGCTCTCTTTGGGCCTTCGTTGCTGCTTCTGTAAAATGGGCGCCTGGGATCGGCTGCTCGCAAGGGTCCTCGGTCAGGCTCACCCGGCCTGTGAGGCCTACAAAGGGGTCCCCAGCACCCAACCCCTGTGGCTCAGAGGAGGTCTGCGAGGGTTTGTTGGGGAATTGATCTAACATGTCATCTTGTTCTGTGCCCAGGAGATCCCCATAACTGCAGATACTGGAACATAGGAGTTGCACAAAAGAAAGGCAAAGAGTGAACAAAGCCTGGAGGACTGATGGCACCTTGTCCCCCGCAGCCAGGGCTCCCCAGCAGCAGACAGCCCTGGAGGGCTGCCCTGGGTCCAAGGTTGTCCCCATGTGGCAGCCAGGCTGCGGAGTTCCCCTCCAGGTCCCGTCATTGGTGACTGCCGGCCGCCCCACTCAGGGCACTCTGTTCCCTCCCCAGGTGACCTCTCCGGCCTGTCCCTCTGCTCCTGAGGCTCTGCCTCCTGTGGCTCGGCCGCTTCCTGTAACCCTGACTCGCTAGGACCCAACTCTGCCGAATGGCTTCTCCCCGGGCCACCTTCCAATGGCGGGGCCTGCACCTAACACCCTCCCTGTCTGTGGGGCTCTGGTCCACGTTCCTCAGAGGGAGCCTCTCCCAGGCCCAGAGCAGTTGTTTGTGGCAGGTGATGTCACGGGTGAAGGGTTGGTCTCTGGATTGATTGGTTCAATCAAGTGTCCAGTGGACACCTGGTCTGAGGCACAGCTGCTTAAGGGCTGAGCTTTGAGAGGGATGAGGGTGGGGCAGGCGGTGTCCTTGACCTGTAGTGTATAATGGAGACCCACGTTGTATAACGTGCCTATCAGTGTAGGTGTGCCTGTGTGTGTATGTACACATGTACATGTATGTGCCTGTGTGCACGTGTGTGTTTATCAGTGCTTGTAACATGGCAGTGAAATGTGCTCTCGTGTAAACTGACCACTCGGCACTGTGTTTAAAGAGATGCACAAATGAGCTAGTGATCCTGCTTCTGGGACACAGTGTAAGAAGATCTCACGCGCAAAAGGAAGAGGCTCCGCTGCAGCCTCATCTCTGCAGTGAGAGCCGGGCAATGGCCCACGTGACTAAGGATAAGCCGCCGTGACGTCTAAGTGATCACGGTGTGCGCTCGACGGGACTTTACACGCTGGAAATGTTAATTGTGCAGACATTTTAACAACCAGAAAAATGTTTATGTTAAAACGTTGAAAAGCTGGGCGTGGCGGCTCGGGCCTGTAATCCCAGCAACTCAGGAGGCTGAGGCGGGAGGGTCTTTGAGGACAGGAGTTCAAGACCAGCCTTGGCAGCATAGCCAGGCCCTGTCTCTGAAAAAAAAAAAATTGAAGAAAATACAGACTTCTTTCCTGGGCTGACAACTGTTTAAAACTTAAATCCGCATAATGAAAATAAGCCAGAAAATGAAAATGAATATACAGGTGTTGAGGAGGGGCGTTAGCAATATTTTTTCTCAAAGGTTTCTTTACTGTGGTTATTATGTTGCTTTTACAGTAAGAAAAGAAAAGAGGTCATTTGAAACGCAAACAAGTGCGGGAGCAATGGTGGGTTTTGGTGAGGCTTTGCCTTTCCAGGGTCAGGGATCACGTTTTTAACGGCTTCCTGGGTCTCGGGGCAGCTGTGGGAAAACCCTTTTACAGGCTTCGCTGGACCCGGGGCTGAGCCGAGTCCGGTCCCCGCCTGCAGCCTCCTGTCTCTTTCTGTTTCTCAGCCATCATGGGAACTTGGGCTCTGGAATGAGACCCACTCGGGTCGAGCCC